GGCGGGCGGCTCTGGAGGCGGCGTCGGCGCCGGACGCGGCGCCGCGGCGGGGTGGGAGGGTTTTGACCAGGACGCGTGCGCCGGGGTGCGCGTGACACACTTGGTGCTGAAGAACGGGCTGCGCGTGGGCGCCGCGGCGCAGTGAGAGAGACACGAGACGAACGCATGCACGCGCCATGCGACGAGTCGGTGCGCCCGGTGTTGCGCGCCGCCGCCGCCGCGGGCGGGCGCTTCATCAACGGCGGTCGCACCAACGATTGCGTGGGGCCCGGGGGCGGGGGCGGGTGGCCCCGCTGGTGGAGCGAAGCAGGAGAGCCCAACAACCGAGCGGCAGCGCCCCCCCAACGGCGCGCGCCGGCGAGCCGCCGCGAGAGCCCCGCGTCGGGCCCCGCCTCCGCGTGCGGCAGCAGGCTGGGACAGGCTGGCCTTCTTTGATTGGTGTGCGGCGCGGGCGGCGGCCGCTGCGGCCCCCGCCAGCGCCGCGTCGCAAACGCATGCGCCTGCGGAACGGGCCAAGGCCAGATGCAAAGTTACCACAGTGTATCCGCTCGACAGCAGTTACGGTCACGTCACCATGTGAACATCATCATCACCGTCATTATATATATGTATGATACATCCTCCCTTTTACATATAACCGCTTCTTATGGCTGCTAAGGTTTCATCAACATGATCTAAAAGGCGGCGACACGCACCCGCCCAACGTTATCAAAACAGTTTGCCAAACACGCAGCCGCCGCAGGGGCCTGCACACCATCTCACGGCTGCGGCGGCGGAACCCCCCGATCTCTTTCTGATGCGTTGAAGAAGGAACTGCCAGCATCGGCGCACACCTGCTTGCGCACTCGCGGCCCCACGTCGCGTGGGAAACGAACGCCTGCCGACAGGGGTGGCATGTCCGCGCACTTGCAGCACCTTATGCTGGCCCCTGGATGGCTGCCTGCCGTTCGGCTTTGCTTTGAAACCTGCAGTGATTGCTTTGAAACCTGCAGTGATTGCTTTGAAACCTGCAGTGCTGCCGCACGACTGATCCTTCCTGCCCCACCGCGTGCGGTGTGTTGTAGGTTGAGGGCCCCTCAACAGTTGCTGCCCCGCGAGACTGTTGGCTTCTGGCTTGGGCCTCACTTTAGCCCTTCATATCTAGAGCGTCACACCAATTTCCAGCACCCATGCATGCAGCCAGGAGCACTTTCTTGGGCCGCATCTTTTGATGGCGCACACGCGCCTCCTCCGTCAGCGCCGCGGTGCCACGTGGAACGGCGCCCTCTAGCCGCCGCATGGCCGGCTCTTTCGTTGCATTACTCCAAGGCACTCGGACCGCACCAAAGCGGCGACCACTCTCCCCTTCCTTGCGGGGCGGCGTGTTGCTCTAGCGTCGTGCTAGGAAACGCCCAAAGAAGAAAAACATGCTGCACGTTGAACTGCTGCGCCCCCTGTTTGCTCGTCCTTGCTCACTCCTTCGCACGCACTTGAAAGCCACAATCCATGAGTTGAACGGCGACTGCGCTCTGGCCGCTCCAGCCACACGCACCAAGCGCCCGTGGCCGCCGTGTGCATTGTCTTGCATTGTCTTGAAGGCACCGGTCAACCTTGTGTAACTGTCACATCTGTCGGTCATGGGGTTTCCAGTGGTGGTGGATGACTGCGCTGCTGCGCACAGGGCGGGGCGACGCCAAGGCCCGTTGCGGCTGAGGCTCCTGCTGGTGTTGCCGGGGC